AGCCAACTTCTGGGTACCTAACCCTCAATATTGAGAGCACATTGGAGACATAGCTTAGAGGGGGTTCTATATATAGAATAATAGCGCTGTTTTAGATTAGAGAAAGGTTGTGTGGCTTACAGCTGTCCTTGGAGTCAGGAAATCTCCAAGGGTTCAAGTTCTGCTTCTGGTACATACTAGTTTTGTGACCACGGATGATTCACATCACTTCTCAATGTCCCAAGGCATTTCACTAAGAAGAGTTGCTGATACATATCAGTGGAGGCAGTTTCCATAATCGCAGGTCCAGACCAACCAGGGGAAAAAGACCATGGGAAAAAAGAAATAGAACAATGCAGAACTCCTCTCCCCTACTTATCCCTTTTAACCATTGAGCTGCATATCTGTGCTTGGCTCTTCTCTTGAACTCTTGCCCCTCCCCCTCGCTGACCTTGGTTTCCCTGGCAGGACTCTGAGATGAGGTCTTGGCTGCTACCATGCTGCCAGGCTTCAAACCCATTTGTGAGTTAGGAGGATGTCTACCTCAAGCATGTGAAGACTTCCCTTTGTGGGATGGGCAGATAAGGATAATTTGCTCCAAATGTCCACAAAGGCAGCTGAAACAGACTGAAGCAAATTGTAGAGCACTTAGAGCTTGGTCAGATATCAAAGACACCAAGGTCATCTGCTATATCTTGGGCTGTTGCCAGTCAGCTTGACTTTTGTATTGCCACTAGATTTCAATGACTCTGGAAGAGAGAGTGAAGTTGAGGACTTTATGCAACTTTGCCTCATTTAAATCCAATTCATAAACAAGTCAAGACGTAATCCTGTAATGTCACTGGTCTCCTTTGAAGATGAAGGATGAACAGTAACAGCATTCTTCAGCACCCTGGGCCTCTGGAATCTTGACTGGTCATCGTGTTGATCAGAATTCTTATGTCTTTCAAAGCTATTGGTCTTTATAATATTGTTATTATTATATAAACTATTCTTCTGATTCTTATCACTTTATTCTGCATCACTTTATAGGCCTTCCCAGCTTTCTCTGGAGCTGCTCCTTTTATAATTTCTTACGGTATTCTATTCTGTGACTATACCATCATGTGTTCAGCCACATCCCCTTTGCATGTATTTTGGAATGAGATATGATAGAATAATAATGAGAGTTGGTCTCAGTGTTGGGTTTAAGTCTCCCCTCTGGAATATACTAGTTGTGTGACCCTGGACAAGTGACAACCTCTTAGTACTTCAAGCAGAGCAGTCATCTAGACCTGTGGTGGAGCTCAGTAGTCTCATTAGTCACAGTCGGACACACTATACCTTGACCCCAACATAGTGATGTCATTTTGGTCCTCTTAGTGAACGAAGGACAACAACCCATCTAGAGGGAGCTCCTTATACCAATACGATGACAGGGCTAGTTTAAAAACAAAACAAAACAAAACATTTGGGGAACGTAAGCTATGTTTCAGAGTTTAAGAAGATAACTTTCCTGAGGAGGATTTTGGTGCCTTCCAAAGTTTAACATGATTTTTTGGATTGGCCGTATCATTTTCATCTGGGCTCATAAGGACAATTGAGAGCTGACAACCTCAGGCAGAGCCCACTGGATAAGGAAGTATTTGAATATACCACCTAGATCCGAAGACTGTCCATTTACTAGATAATTTCAAAGGAAGCAGAAGCAGTGGAGATCCTTTTGGAATCCAGAGAGAAGGGGCCTCTGGTCCCAAGAAAATCCTTAGTAAAAACAGAGAAAATCTAGGTACCAATCACATGAAATGGTCTAGAGAGAGCAAGCGGCTCTATTTTCTCCCTTCAGGGTTCTGTCCTAGAGCAGAGGTTTTTAAACTTTGCTTCATGGACCCCTTTGGCAATCTGGGGAAGGCTATGTACCCTATCTCAGAAAGTTGTTTTTAAATGTGTAAAATAAGATTCACAGGATTCCAAAAGGGAGGGAATTATGTAGAAAAACATTGTAAAAAAATATTTTTTAATGTTTCCACATGCTCAGTGGATAGAACACCGGCCCTGAAGTCAGGAGGACCTGAGTTCAAATCTGGCCTCAGACCAAACACCTGACACTTACTAGCTGTGTGACCCTGGGCAAGTCACTTAACCCCAATTGACTAAAAAAAAAATTTTAAAAAAAGAATACCTGTAACTAGAAGGACAATATCTCTCAGGCTCCAGTTACTCTGAAGCTCCTGGCTTGTTTTTGATTTTGTTTCTTCTAATGTGGCTTGAGGTCTGAAGAGCACTGGTTCTAGATCATGCCTGGAGCAGAGCCTTAAAGAAAATTCACTGTCTTCCCTGCCTTTGTCTTGTAGCTCATGGTCCTTCTACCATTCAGAGGACTCTTTTTGAATTGCAGTGGCTGAAAAAAGGAATGGCCAGCCCTCTAATGATAAGCTCTTCTGCACTCAACTCTCCCTCAAGTCATTTAACCTCTGCCTTGGTTTCCTCAACTGTAAAATGGAGACAATAAATAACACTTATCCCACAGGGTTGTTGTGAGGATCAAATGAGATATTTGTAAAGTATTTAGCACAGTGCCTAGTACATAGCAGGTGCATAATAAATGCTTGTTTCCTTTCTTCCTCAGACATTCCCTCCCCATTTCTTTGCTTTTGCTCAGGCTTTCGTACAGGTTCCATGTCCCTGCCTCCTCCTGCACTCCCCCCCCCCCATTGCTAGTGCCCTCTCCACAGAAATTACTTTGCATACATTTGGTATAATTTTTCTATTTATAAGTCATTTCTCCCCAATAGAAGGTAAGTTCCTTGAGAGCAGGGCCTATTCTGTTTTGTCTTTGTATCTCCAGAGCCTAGCACAGTGACAAGCACTGAGCTTGTAGGTGCTTAATAAGTGCTGGACAAGCAAATTGAATTAACAGAAAGAATTTCCTCATCTACAAAATGATGGCTTGCACTAGAAGGTCTCTGTCAGAACTTTCCAGCTATAGATCTATGACCCTAAATTGGGGAGAGGAAATGAGTTGAGTTTTAGGTAAAAGATTTTAGAGCTGGAAGGGCTCTCCGAGGCCATTTAATCAGATCTGATCACTCTGACCTTAGGGGCACCCTATGGATCTATTTATCTAGGATAAACTATATGCTCCCCTGTTTAGCTTTTAAAATCCTATGTTTGCTGCTGTGTTCAGTCATGTCCAACTCTTCATGACCTCATTGGGAGTTTTCTTGGCAAAGATCCTGGGCAAAGACTTAAAAAATGGTTTTGCCATTTCCTTCTCCAGCTCATTTTACAGATGAGGAAACTGAGGCAGAGTCAGGTGACTTGCCCAAGTCGCGCAGTTAGTAACTGAGACCTAGCACTCTATCTACTGTGTCATCTAGCTGCCCACATAACCTGGCCCCAAACTATCATTTCCAGTCTCACTGGATGTTACTCTCCTTTCCCCTCTCTGCGATCCAGCCAAATATGCCTTCACTCACACACCATCTCCTGTCTTCTCTCTGGTCATCCTCCGTGCCTGGAAAGCTCGGCCTCCTTACCCCTGCTTCACAGAGTAACTCTCTTCCTTTAAGATGCACCTCAGGAACCGTCTTCTGCACAATATTTTTGTTAATTCTGCCAACTGCTAGTGTCCTCCCTCCCTTACTGTTTCATATGTGTGTAAAGTTTGTGTGTACATATGTATATATTTTTCAAATTTTATATTTATGCTGTATATATTTTATATGCACTTGCAGTCCCTCCATTAGAAAGTAAGCTCTTAGAGAATAGAAATTGTTTCACTCTTTGTATTTATGTTTCTAGTGCTTAGCACAGTGTAGCACATTGTAGGCGCCTTGATAAATGCTTTTTGTCTTGGTGACCAGTTTGCTTGATGCTTTCCAGTTTATTAGTCTTTCCTAAAATGTGCTTAGAACTGATAAAACACTTCAGATCTGTTCTGACCAGGACAGAGTATAACAAGATTATCACCTCAAAGGGGTAGCTGGGTGGAGTGGTGGATAGAACTCTGGCCTTGGAATCAGGAGGACCTGAGTTCAAATATAGCCTCAGACACTTGACATTTACTAGCTGTGTGACCCTGGGCAAGTCACTTAACCCCAATTGCCTCAGCATTTAAATAAACAAAAAAGATTATCACCTCACTAGTCCTGGGCTGGAAACTGAATCCCGTCGTTTTAATGCCAACATTCTACTGATCTTGTATGACACAATCTGAAGAACCAAAACGAAGTATTGCACAAAGGGTAATGGAGAAGTGCATGATGGGTATCCTCAAGCTGCACTAGAAAGCCTGGAAGGAACTTCCAAGAAGAAAATGAGTAAAACAGTTCACATAAATTCTTTAAGGAATTTATCATGTGACATGCATTATATTGTCTCTTTGCATCTTATCCCTCATTAGACAAAAGGCATTATGAAGGAAAGGCATGGAGTATGGTAGCCTGAACAAAACAGGCAATAAAGGTTTGTCAGAGAAGGAAGGAATGGCCTCTTTGCTCAAAGATCCTTTCCAAGATGGAGCTATTCGAGGAGAGTAAACGTTGGGACTGCTACCAAGTGGCATAAATTTGTTAAAATTGAAAAAAAAAATGCGAGATGGAGTTCAGAGAGGGATGGGTTGTGCAGAGAGTTTCCTGCTCTTCCCTGTAAACTATTTCTTTGGGGTTTTGCACCCCAAACACACATTAAATGGATTCCATTCTCTCTTCGTTGTCCCCCGACCCCTCGCCCCCATCTTGGAGGGGTGTGGTTGGGTAAGACAAGACTGGGGATATAATACTAGTTTCCTCTGGCCCGGTCTGGTTTCCGGGTTCTGGAGTTAGGGGGAACGAATCCCGAAATTCCGGGATTCTGCAGAAGGGAGAGGTGAACAATAGGGCCCCTGTGACAGAGGCTTCTTGCACCACTAGGTCAGTGCCCACAGAACGGAACCTACCAGCGAGAACCGGCCGCCGCCGGAGGCTCGGTGCCTGTCCTCTGTGTGCCTCTGCCCCGGAGCTGAAAGCCTGCCTTGGGCTTGTCGCTCCCTCCCCCCAATAGATGTTGACTGTTCCCTGACCTCAGAACAAACAGAAGCCTAGCTTGGTCACCTCTTCGCTGCCGTGGGAACGGCCCCTCCCCTGAGCTGGCATGTCCTGGCGTCCCTGGCGGTAATCAGGGGCCAAGCACACCTGATCGGGAAGTGGGGGTGGGGAGGAGCTTCTGAGCTCCTGGTTGATCCCCCACCTTGTCCTGCAGGACCACGTGATAGTGTCCCCTCTCCCCACAAATACTAAACCAAACCACTGGGAGCCAGAATCTCTACTCTCCCCACTGGGGTTCTTTTCTATCTCCTGCCCTATTCTAGTTATTTCCCTAGTGTTCCCCTTTTTTTCCTAGCCCACAGGGGTCCTGGGAATGGGGGAAATGAGGCCCACGAGTGCTTTGGCCCTCAATTCAATTCAATCCCAGCCAAAGTCCAGGACCTGTGCCTCGGCATCTCCTCTACCCTCAAAGGATGGAGTTCGTCATCCCAGGGTGAGTAGGGTGGATACAGGGACCAGGGACTTGGGGGTGGGCCCCAAGTCCAGCTGGGCTTGAGACCGCTCGGCCAAAGAACTGCATTTCCTGGTTCCTACCTGGGCCAAGAACGACACCTGATCTTGGGGGATTGTGAAATGGAATGAGGTGGCAGCCGGACCACACCATCCCCTTGCCCCCACCCAGTACCCCTCCCCTCAGCTAGCTCCCTCCCCGCCCTCGCCTCCGCCCCGGGCCTCAAGCTCTCACTGTTTAAAGCCCTCACTAGGAAGTTCAAATCTAAATCCCTTGCAGCACCACAATGGCCAGCAAGCTCTCCCCTTTCTCAACGTTATTCGGCTGCTTCTTCCTCTTGTTCTTCCTGAGCATGGACCCTGCCAGCCGTCAGACCCACGCTCGTAAGTACTAAGCCTGGGAGAGTGGCAGGGGTGACTAGGGGACAGGATCCAGCACGACTTCGGTCGGTGGGAGGTGAGGGGGCCTACAAGTCTGCGGGGTCGGTGGGAGGTGGGGGGAGCCCCTGGATCTGATGTGGGGAAGGGAGCAGGAGCCTTTGGGATCATCCCCTGGCCCAGAGACTCAGGGACCTCCCAAGGAGACGGAAGTGGGGGACAGGGACTTAGATTTGTCCCATGGGTGTTGATAGAAAGAAATTGGGGGCCGGAGATGGGGGACTCCAGAGACAGCAGGTGAAGTACCTGGGAGCTGGAGATATAATGGGACTCCTGGGTCACCGGGAACCAGAGAGAGATGAAGGGAATCCTGGACCTCGAGCCAGAGATCGAGGATTTTATTCTGTAGGTGGGTGGGGCCCTCCCTGACCTTCCTTTGCTCGGCGGAGCAGAAAAGGTGGGCTTGTGCCCAGAGGTACAGGAGAGCCAGGACTGCCAGGTTGAATGTCAGACCGACGAAGACTGTCCTGACGTCCTCAAGTGCTGCACGGCTGGCTGCACGTCGGTCTGCGCAATCCCCAACGGTAACCTTCCCGTTCCCCCTTCCTTGCCCCCCAGGGCTGTGGAGTCCGACAAGCCCACTGGCCTCCCTAGCCAGGGCTCATGCCCAGCCGTTCCTCAGTCGGGGGGGGGGATACCCTGAGAGAAGCAGGGGCAGGACTTCAGGAGATTTGTCTCCTCAACCCCTCAGGATCCAGAGTGGGGAAGAACACAAAGTTCCTAAACACCTCCCCTCCCCTACCCCCAGTTTGGCTTCCCTCAGCAAGCCTTGCACAGCCCTCCCTAGTCTTTGGTGCGTGACAGTTTCCTGGCTCACGTAGCTGGGACATTGTTTCCAGGAAGCCTGAGGTGGGTGGCGAAGACGACACACCTGGGGAGAAGCCGGGGGGGGGGGGAGCGGTTCGGGAGGTATCTGGGCCGGCTGGAAACGACAGGTTCTGCCTACTCCTATCCCAAATCACCACAGCAAAGTATTTAGTTCCCAGCCTGACCCTCGGGAAGAAAAAGAATCACCCTAACCACCTGGCGGCTCTGGATCAGAATCCGCTTGTAGGGAGGGAAAGACAAAAGGATGGGATTGTATAATTTCCCTTGTACAGATTGTGTAGTCTAACCCCTAATTTTTCAGAGGAAGAAACTGAGAGGGGATGACTGGTCCAAAATCAGTAAGAGAATTGAAGTTAGAAGACCTGGTTTCAAATGAGAGCTCTGGGATTACCAGATTGCCTTGTTTCCATCCAGAATTGTTTATTTTCTGTATCTGTATTCACCAGAGTTTACCTCAGCGCCTGGTTCATAAGCATTCAATAAATGCTTGCTGGATTGAATTGAATGCTCAGTACCATGGGACTTTTGGTTCCCATCCTTTGTTCTGGAGCTTCATTTTCCCCAAGCTTTCAGTCCCCACTCTGAGGCTTCCAGAAGGGCTGAAACTGGGGCATGCTAGGAAAAGAGCTAAAATACTCAAGAGTTAGGGAAGGGCTCCCTGAAGGAGGGTAAAGATACCTGGGGGCAAGTCACTTAGCCTCTTAGGTTAGGAAAGCCTTCTCCTCCTCCTTCTAGGGAGAGTAGAGCGACACCTGTAGGACCTCCCCCCCTCACCCTACAAGACCCCTAACCTCTTTGGGTCTTCCTTTTCTCTTCCATTAAGAAAAAAGGCTGGACTAGTGAACCTCCTAAGATCCCTTCCAACTCTAAATCTATGGTCTCAAGTAATGGCAGAGTTGACATTACAGCCCATTCAAGTCCATTTTTTCTTTCCATTCCATCAAGCTGTCTTCTAGAAGCTAAATAATTAGGGACAGTTATAGGTTAACTAGAAACTGGGGGTGAGATTGAAACCAACAGAAAACTAGACCTGAGACATAGGGGAGAGATGAAAGAAAGAAAGTGGTTCTGAAGCTCCTCTGCAGTCAGAGGTAATGACTGTTGTCTCTAAGGCAAAAATGGATTAACTAAAGCATGAAGAAGAAGTCAGGAAAGTCAACCTAGGGAAGGAACCTGGTATTAAGTAGGCTCCTGCATTAGGGCCAGTAGCCTTTTTCCCATCCCAGATTAGGTCTCCTCACTTCCTGAGGTGAGTGGGATCTTCTTCCCCCTGGTTGATGGTGGTTCTGGGGAATGTAAAGGGCATCCTGTCACCTAGCTGGGGAAAATTTACTCATTTGTGCTGGTAAGGCAAGGAGTTTTTTTAATGACTTGTACGTATATTAATGAATGGTGGAAGAGATATACAGATGAGTGGGTGGGAGTGTTTAGGTGTGTTTAAGGATGTGTGTGTGTGTGTGTGTGTGTGTGTGTGTGTGTGAATGGTTGTGGGGCTCTGTACAAGTTTAGATGAATGGCTTTATCTATGTAGGTTGTATTGGGTATAGTTTAGGGTTACTGGGGCTGTGTATGGGTGAACTTAGAATGTGTAAGAGAATGTAGGTGAACTTAGTGTTGGTAAGTGTTGTGTTGATAAACATGGGTGTGTGAATATGTGTGGTGAAGATGTTGGTGGGGGGTAAGCACAGATATCAGAGTGAGGGTCTTAGAAGGCTCTTTGCCAACCTTAATGTTCAAAGCAACTCCACCTCTGAGTTCCTATACTGGGGAGAGGAAAGCCCTAGCCAGGAAATGGGTTTGTTGGGAACTAGCAAGCATTTTATAAAATGAAACGTTTGGACCAGATGACCTCTCAGGTCTGTTCCAGCTCTAAAGCTGTTATTTCATCTATGCCCTGCTTAGTGCTATGAGGAGATAAGAAAAGACCACCGAGCACAGGGTTTGCAAACTGAGTGCTAAAAATTATTCAGTGAATGAAGATAGGGTTAAGTCATAGCAGCCCTGTGAAGGAGCCAGAGGTTGTCTTTGGCACCCTCTTTTGATGCCTCTCCCGAATACCTGAGGTGCTCATTGTCCCATCTTGACAACTCTCAATAGTTGGATAAAGTGTTTATTACTATGGTCCAGGAATTGTTTTAAGTACTGAGGTACAGAAAGCAGAAAAGAGAATCCCTACCCTCAAGGATGTTATAGTCTGATGGGGGAAGACAATATCTGAAGGATGGTTGGGGAGTGGAGGGTGGGGAGGAAAAGGAGGGTAAGACTCCTGGAGAAAGGCCAGAGAGTAAGGAGTGGAACCAGGAGTGAAGCAGCCATGCCCTAGACATCTTATAAATGATGGTCCTAGATCCTAGAATGTTGGAGGGTAGAAAAGAGTAGACTGTAAAGCATAGAATGGCAGAACTGGAAGGGATTTTAGAGATTGTTTGGTCCAGTCTTCTCATTTTACAAAAGTCCAGAGAAGGAAAATGACTTGTTCAAGGTCACTCAGTTGCTTAATAGCCTAGCTGGACAAGAATTTGTCTCTGGATTCCCAGTTGAGAATTCTGTTTATAAACCCTATACCTATACCTGTTTATAAACCTGTACCTTCCTCTACCCAAATCTGTACTAAGAAAGGCTTTGCTATCAGGTCATCTGTTGATAACCCTTTATGTGCTGACTTCCCCCATTAGACTGTAACTTCTTTGAGGGTAGGGATTCTCTTTCTGCTTTTCTGTGACAATGTCCATCAGTGGGTCTCCTTTCCTGAGGAACTGACCTTCTCAGTTTCATTTCAACTTGTGGGATAAAAGTACTAACTCCTGGGAAAGGGGGTCAGTCATCAGGGTATAGGTAGAATTGGAATTTCCTAGATACCTTAGAATCATACCAAGAAGGCATCGTGACTGTGAGGAAAGCAAGCTCTGATGAAAATATTCATGGTTATTATTTTTTTAACATTCATTTTAAAATGTTGAGTTCCAGATTCTCCCCCTCCCTGCAGCTTCTTCCCCACCCACTGAGAAGGCAAGAATATGATATCCGTTATACATGTGAAAAATGTATTTTAATATTAGACGTGTTGCCAAAAAGATTAGTTTTTTAATAATTTCACATTTCTGTGATGCCTTTCATTTTCAGAGTGCTTTTTTCACAATAGACTCTAAGTGGTAGAAAGTTCAGATATTTAACCCCCTCATTTTCCCACTAGACCCTTCCACTTTTAATACTAAATTGGGGGATTTAAGGCCACATATCTGCCAGGGAGCCTTGTTTAGACTCCAGGTTTCAGGAGCTCTTCTCCCTCTCATTCTTTCCCCAGAGAAGAAGGGTAAATGCCCTATTAATGACAGTAGAATCTCTTTGCTGGGGATTTGCAAGGACGAGTGTTATGAAGATTCTGATTGCTCTGGCTCACTCAAATGCTGTATCAATGGCTGTGGAAACCAATCCTGCCTCACACCTGAGCAATGAGGTGGGTGGGGGTATGAGGGGAAGGGGGCTGGGGAAAGAGCTAGGTCCTTAAAGGGAAAATCCAATGGGGGAAGGGAGGAGGGAATGGACATTTTTTTCCAGGGTCTACTATGTGTCAGGCACTGCATTAAAATGCTTTTACAAATATCTCATTTGATTCTACAGCTCTCAGGGTGGCAGGAAGGCCTTGAGGCAATGCTGGGAGAATTCAAATGGGAACAAAGAATTGGACCCTTTTTGGAAAAGTCCCATTTTCCATCCTCATATATTTTTCTATAGAAAGAGCAAAGGGGGAATCCTTGTCTGGAGGACCCTGGGAACATTTGTGAGCTGAGAGAGCCAGACAGCATGGTATGGTAGAAAATATCTAATGGGATATGAAGTGAGAGCACCTGTATTCAGACCCAGGTTTTGGGGTTTGTAATTCTTGGGTTTGAATCACTACCTCATGATGTGACTGTCAGAAGTCCCTTCACTTCCCTGGGCCTCAGTTTCCTAATGGAGGATGTTTTCGATGACCCTTAAATTCTCTCTGACTCAAGGGTCTGTGATCTCTGGTCCTTTGGAGGTGGTGCTGGAAGGAATTTATTCAGAGTGGTCTGTGTGAGCAGGCAGGTGGTTGATGGTAAGAAGTAACAAGGAAGGGTCTTGGCTTTGCTGCTTCCCAAGGATGGGAGCTGTAGCAAACTAAATCTTTATCTTTCTCTGGGCTTCTATTTCCATTTCTTTCTCTGAAAAAAAAAGATGAGGCTAAACAGAACTCACAGCCTTTATTGCCTCAGTATCTGATATATGGCCTCACCTTCAAATGGGCTTCCCTGAACTGGTCTTGTAGCCAGAAGGACTTATTTCAAAATCTGTCACTGCCCCTGTCTTGCCCTGGGACTCTGAGCAAGTCACTTAAGCAAACTGGGCCTCAGTGTCTTCGTCTGTAAAATGAAGATAACAATACCTGCATTACCTGCCTTCCAGGGTGCTAATGAAAATGCTTTGTAAAAACCCAAAGTGCCAAATTAATGGGGACTCTTTTTACTAACTTTACCCAAAAATTGTTTTTGCACCCACAAATTAGTCACTTTTGTTCAGTCTTGTCTGAAGCTTCGTAACCCCATGTGGAGTTTTCTTGGCAAAGATACTGGAGTGATTTGCCACTTCCTTCTCCAGCGGATTAAGGCAAACAGAGGTTAAGTAACACAGCCAGTAAGTCTGAGGCCAGATTTGAACTCAGATCTTCTTGACTTCCTGCAGTGAAGTGGTACAATGGATAGAGTGCTGAGTCTGGAGTCAAATCCAGCTCAAATCTGACCTCAGACACTTCCTAACTATGTGATCCTGGGCAAGTCACTTAACCCTGTTAGCCTCAGCTCCCTCATCTAGTAAAATGAGCTGGAGAAGGAAATGGCAAACCACTCTAGTACCTTTGCCAAGAAAACCCCAATGAGGTCAGGAAGAGTCGGACAGGACTGAAAAATGACTAAACGAGAACAACTTTCTGACTCCAGGCCCAGCACTTTATCCACTGAGCCCTCCAGCTGCCTCTGCTAGGTCACTAGATTTGTAAGTCACCAAATCTCTTGGGGCCCTTCATTCTGTATCTATAAAATGCCTTGGGCTCTCATGCTTCCAGCTCTGAATCTCATTGATCCTGGGACAGGGCAGAGCTGAGAACTCAAAATCAAGTCCCTTCACTCTGCTGCCTCTCCACCCAAAAATAATCCTGTTTCAATTTCAGTGATGCTCTTCAGTTCTTAAAGTGTGAACCTGTGAGGTCAGTAGTGCAAAGTAAGCATAGATTTCAGAGCTGGAAGGCAACCTCAGTCTAGGCCCACACCTTCACCTTACAGAAGAGAAAACTGAAGCCCAGAGAAGATGTGATTTTTCTACAGCCTACACGGGTATAATAAGTAGCAGAGCTACCATTTGAACCCACGTATTCTGACTCCAAATCCAGTGTACTCTTCTGTACCATACTATCCCCACTTTACTGAGGAGTAAACTGAGGCCTAGAGAGGGGAAAGGACTTGACCAAAGGTATCATTGTTGTCGTTCACTTGTTTTAGTCGTGTCTGACTCTTCATGACCTGTTCTGGGATTTTCTTGGCAAAAATACTGGAATGGTTTTGCCATTTCCTTCTGCAACTCATTGTATAGATGAGGAAACTGAGGTAAACAAGGTTAAGTGACTTGCTCAGGGTCACACAACTCGTAAGTGTCTGAGGCCATATTTGAACTCAAGAAGTTGAATCTTCCTGACTCCAGGCCTGGCACTGAGGCCATCTTGGTGTCTCCTCCACCACATCCCCCAAAAGATGTGTTCATTGAGTGACTTCTCTTGAATGCTTTCAATGAGTAGGAAACTCATTCCTGAGGCAGCCCATGCCACTTTTGGATAATTGGAAGGATATTTGCTCTCACCTTAGGTCTGACATGAGTCGTTAAGTTGGAACAAAGGTCACCCTGATCCTGGGAGCTCCTGGACTCTTTAAAGTTGTACTGAAAGTCACACTGATCCTGCAGCACTCCCTGATGAGCTGCTGGAGCGCAAGGCTTCTGGACCAGCTGTCCATGGATCTTATTATTACCTTTCTTTCCTACCAGCACCTGGACAAACCCAAGAGAGAAAGCTGCTCACTGACCTATCCTCTGCTCTTCCATCTTCTGGGTCCTGGGACCCCATCTCTCCCTCCCCTGCTGGGCTTCAGGCTTCCTTTCTGGGGCTGACCGTGCCTAGCCAGTGCATCAATAAAAAGATCGGTTCCTGTACTAGCAGCTCTGTGGCCTTCTGTCTTGGCAGCCTCCAGGGATGTGGGTGGGTTGTTGTTGGAATTTTGGAGGTGTGCGTTGGGGAGGTGGGGAATTAGGAGCAGTTGGAGAAATTGGGTTGAGTCCTGGGCTGTACCTTGGGCAAGACTGCAAAACCCCAGAACCACAGAAAGAGTAGAAACCTTACAAGTTACCCTGTCCAGGCCACCCCTTAGAAAGAAGCTCCTCTATAACTTCCATGTCAAGTGGTCATCCAGCCTCCATGTGAAGATGATTAGTGGCTGTTTTCCCAGGCAAATCGAGCCCAATATTAGAAAGCTCTAACTGGAAGTTATTACATCTAGCCAAAACAGGCCTCTCTGCAACTCTCCCAACTGCCACCCCATTCATCGCAGAATACAACTAATCTCTCTTTTAGGATAGCCCTTCAAAAACTTGAGGACATCAATCAAAACTCCCTTAGGTCTTCTCTTTTCCAGGATAAACACCTCCAGTTCCTCTTGGTGATTCTCCTATGCACTGAGCATAAAGCATGGAACAGAGAGTGCTGGCACACTTGGGCATATCCAGCCCAGGGTCTATGCACCCTTAGGCACATGGCGGCTTTTCTAGGCCTATCATCATTCTGGTTGCCTTTCTCTGGACTCCTTCCAGTTTGTTAATGGCCTCCCTAAAATGTGGTGCTCAGAACTGAACACAATACTCCACATATAATTTGTATAGGATAGAGGACAGTGGGACCATCAATGAGAATCACTAGAGAACAGGTTAGCTTTTTGACTCGGGCTACTTATCTCTAAGGAAGGGAGACAGCCTGTGAAGGCAGGGGGTTATATAAAGTTTAGTTTAGGGATGGGTCCTGTAATTTAATCTCCCCCCTAATATCTTATAAAATTGAAGATGGTGAGGAAGAGCTGTCTAGATGAGGCCGATGTCTCAGCATCCCCTAAATCTAGCCTGAACAGGAGACTTGCCTGGGACTGCACAGGTGGAGATGGGATGGGATCTGGGCAAGTCACTGGGTCCCTAAGGGCTACCAGATTTTGGGGGATCACTGATTCGTCCTGCCAGAGCTCTTTGATGCCAGTCCTACTGCCCACTAATCAGACCCTGCCCTCTCCCAGGGCACAGGGTCAGAGAAATGAGGCCAAGCACTCAGGCTTCATGAAGTTGGGTGTGTTTCCAGTTGTGTTCAAATGGTGGCAGCACAGACCCATTGAAACCCTACATGAAGGTGCTTTTCCTGGTTTGTTATCTTTTCACTTGACCCAGCTTGAAATGAGGTGACCCTCACCTCCCTTTTTTGTTCAAAATGTGCACACATGTTTTATTAATACAAAACAACAGTGCCAAGTTAAACAAGGCAAAGTTACTGACTTTTCATAGTTCACAAGGTTTAGTTCCCATAGCTCACAGAGGAGTATATTTATACCTCCAAAAAGCCTTTTGTTTCAGGATAGGCAGCTTACAGCATTTGTGGATAAATCTAAAAAGTGACTAACCCCTGATATGAAATTCCTTTACAAATTAGAAATTATTATTAAAACAATGAACAAATATGGAATTAAAAACTACTAAGATGTTCTATTTAATTTTCACTTTATAATAGACTTCATGAAGATGCTTACAAAGCACTCTTTTTTTGTTTTGAATATTTGTTTCATTACATGCCTTTAATGAATAGATTATTACGTGTGTCAACAACTTTTTTTTTGAGGAGAGTCAAGACCTGGGATTTCATTGGTTACTATTGAGGAAAGTCGCTCTGCCAACTTGGAATTGTTCTGGATTTTTACTGTTAAAGAGCCATCTGGGGCATTGAGAGATTGTTATTAGCCTAGCTATATCATAGCAAGTTTTTGAAATCTGCTTGTAAGAAACCAGGTATATTTCACATAGGTAATGCATGGTTCCAAACATTGAAGATATTTCACACAACAGTACCAACATAGCAGTAAGCTTTTGCCAAATGAAAACAAAACAAAAATATTTATCATCTATATATCATAATGCCCAATGGAAATTATATAAACTTAACAGAATCAATAACAGTAAATATAAGGGGGGGGGGAAGCTAGGTGATGCAGTGGAGAGAGCACCGGCCCTGGAGATAGGAGAACCTGAGTTCAAATCTGGCCTCAGACACATAATGCTCGCTAGCTGTGTGACTCTGGGCAAATCACTTAACCCCAATTGCCTCACACACACAAAAAAATTAAATTAAAAAACCGGTAAATATAAGGGAAATAGATTCAAAATGTTTTAGAAGTCATTGTTTTAAAATAGAACTTTTTTGTTTGATTTAGGAAAATAAAAATCAATATAATTTTATCATCCATCAATTGGTAGTACCTCCAAAACTACATTTGAAATAATCAATATTCTCAGCAAAAGGAAAGCAGGATATCTTCACTGATGTAGATGAAGTACAATTTCTTTAGCAAATTCAGCAAGAGTTGTTATGGGGCAAAATGGAGTTCCTTCAGCAGAAAAACATTAGAAAACAAATCCACAAAGTTTTATTGAATAAACAAAGGCTCTACAATTTTTTTTCATTGTTTTTTTTTAGGCAATTGGGGTTAAGTGACTTGCCCAGGGTCACATAGCTAGTAAGTGTCAAGTGTTTGGTCTGAGGTCGGATTTGAGCTCAGGTCCTCCTGACTTCAGGGCTGGTGCTCTATCCAAGAATCTACATTTTTAAAAATGGTATTTTTTCTCAATTACATGTCAAGACAATTTTTAGCATTCATTTTTTACAAGATTTTGAGTTTGAAGTTTTTCTCTCTCCTTTCCCCTCCTCTCTTCCTAAAATGGTAGGCAATTTGATATAGGTTATACATGTGCTATCATGTAAAACATATTTCTATATTAGTCACAGTTGTGAGAGAAGAAACAGATCAAAAGAAAAAAACAAAACAAGAATAAAGTAAGTGAAAAAAGTATGTTTTGATTTGCATTCAGAGTCCATCATTTCTTTACCTGGATATGGATAGCATTTTCTAGTATGGTTTGTAATTGTCTTGGATCATTGTGTTGCTGAGAAGAGCTGAATCATTCATACTTAATCATCACACAATGTTGCTGATACTGTGTACAATGTTCTCCTGGTTCTGCTCATTTCATTTATACAAGTCTTTCCAGGTTTTTCTAAAATATGCCTGCTCATCATTTCTTATTGCACAACAGTATTCTATCACATTTATGTATCACGGCTTGTTCAGCCATTCTCCAATTGATGGACATCCCCTCTATTTCCAATTTTTTGACACTGCGAAAAGGGCTGCTTTAAGTAATTTTACACATGTAGGTCCTTTCCCCTTTTTGTGATCTCTTTGGGATAGACTTAGTAGTAATATTGCTGGATCAAAGGGTATGCACAGTTTGGTTGCCCTTTGGATGTAGTTCCAAATTGCTCTCCAGAATGGTTGTATCAGTTCACAACTCCACTAACAGTATATTAGTGTCCCAATTTTCCCACATTTTCTGCAACATTTATCATTTTCATTTTTTTTCACATTAGCCAATCTGATGGGTGTGAGGTAGTACCTCAGAGTTGTTTTAATTTATATTTCTCTAACCAAAAGTGATTTAGAGCACTTCTTCAAATGCTTATAAATAGCGTTGATTTCTTCATCTGAAAACTGCCTGTTCACATCCTTTGACCATTTATCAATTGGAGAATGAATGGCTTGTATTCTTATAAATTCGACTCAGTTCTCTATATATTTGAGATATGAGGCCTTTATCAGAGACACTTGCTTCTTCCTAGCTTTCTGCTTTCCTTCTAATCTTGGTCTCTCCGGTTTTGTTTCTGCAAACACTTTTTGATTTAATATAATCAAAATTATCTATTTTACATTTCGTAATGCTCTCTATCTGGTCCTGAATCTGTAACTCACTTAACTTCTTTAAGAATTTGGATGCTATACCATTTGGTGCATATATGTTTAGTATTGATATTGCTTCATTATTTGTGGTACCAATGCACTTCCTACTGTACAATGCTGCTAAAGTAAAAAAGAAAACCTGAGATAAGTGAGAGGTATTTCCTTGCAATTCAGTAATGAGGTGAGGGATTAAAACCCATACATATCCTCAGTGGAGGAGGCAGGTAAGGCAGAGACTGCAGTGAGAACTGGGTGATAGGGACTCTTCTGCTGACCTTTGCTTCAAAGAGAAGAGAAAGTATGTGGATGTGAGGCTTATTCTCCCTAGGGGATAGTGACTCACCTGGACTTAAATGTCCCTTCCCTCCTAGCCTAGTGACATATGGAGCTTCAGGGTGATGGGAGAGTATGGTATTTAGTTCTCTCTCTGTCTCTCTCTTTGTCTTTGCTTCTGTCTCCATCTCCCCACTCCTCCACCTGTTCCCTGAATTACTCTTCAGTCCTTTGCTTTCTTTTCTTCCTGTCTGTTCCTCAGTGATTCCTGCAGGATAGAATCAAGAGGGAGGACTGTGGTCACAAGCAGCCCATAATCCATCGCTAGGAGAAGTGGCAGCAACCCTTGGCAGGAGCTCACTCTGTAGACCCCCAGGGGAAGGGCTCCTGGCCAGCCAAGAACCCAATCATCTGCTCTAGTCAGGGAGATTGGCAGACCATGGGCTTGGTGCCAGTCCAATGGAACAGATTTTCCACAGACTCAAGCCAGGAAATCTCTGCCCAGAGAGCAGCCACAACATTCATTTCATCCAAGGGCAGAATTCCCGCTGGCAAGAGAAGGGAATGGACTGGACTATATTGGATTAAGATCTGCTTAAGGAGAGTCCAGGGACAACTGCCTCCTATGGGGCTGAGAGGGGAAGGGATGCCTCTCCCCATCTTGTATTCACAGTGCTGAGGTCCTTCCATTCATGACCAACAGTTCCCCTCATCTCTAGGCTGGATAGCTTCCTATTTCTTAGTCTCTAAGGAAAAGAGTAGGAGAGATAAATGTGGTACAGTAGAAAGGGCTCTAGATTTGGACTCAGAGGATGAGGGTTCCAATCTTGACTCTGCTAC